AAAAAAAATGTTCTAGATGACTTCTTAACCAAGTTCAAAAACAAAATTTTTAAGAAACCCTGTAGTAACAGGGAGAAAGAAGGCAAGAGGGAGGTTTATAATTAGTTAGTTATTCGACAGATTAATTCTTCATTGCATGTCAGACCACTCAGTCCATATGTGTTTGGATCCCCTCTTCAGTAAATCCCATGCAGCCTGTAGCGACTGAGAACACCGGTTCTGTATTGGTTTTATTATTATTCTTTGGCTACCGCATAGTGTTCTTGTTTGGCATCACCCTGTTTTACTTTCTGTTCATGCTAGTCTGACCATGGTTGCAGATTCACAAGTTCTGAGTGTTTCATGCAAACGTCTTAAATCTGTAGAGCATTCAGTATATCAGCCTGGTCTATAGCATGTACTGCTTTCACAAGTAGCCTACTTGCAAGTCTATCAGCTTGCTTCATTCCCTTATATCCCCACATGTTCTGGCATGAAAAGTGAAACTAATCCTTGTCAGATTCCGTGAACCCTGAAGAGCCGCCAACCACTGCATTCCTGCGCATACTCATTGAGTCACTGAGAAAGCAATGCACCAGTGAAAGTCTGTTTCTCTAGCCATGTTATTGCTTTAGTCACAAGCCATGACCTTTTTATTTAGACTAACTTGTAGTTTAAGGCAAAAGCTCGAGAATCTTCCTTCACACTACTGACCCTCCAACCTGATCGTGAAGCCATAAGCTTCTACACATGGAGGATGACAGACCCATCTGTGTAAATGACAGCACATTACCCTCTTAGGACATTTTCGAAAAATCAAAGCTTGAACTTCTGGTTCCGCTCATTCTTGAAATCAAAGGCTTGTGACTTCTGCTTCAACAGCAGACGGACTCTGTTGTCCGCATTTTCTGTGTAGCTGGATGAGAAATAAAGAAGGTGAAAGAGGCTCTTGAAGAAAAGGAAAAATGTATTTTACCAGAGAATCAATTACTTTGGCAACCACTAGTTCATATAAAGTGTCAGAAATGTAATATTAGCAGCTTACACAAAATATGAGAAGAAAATATTTTAATATTGTTTTTATTTAACACAATAAATGAAGTAAACGCACATAACGCAAAGACTCAGTTGGAAAAGAGATCATAAATTATACATGTTTTACACTCAAGAAAATGTAATTTGAATGGTTTGTGGATTTGTTGCTTTTCAGCTCTAGTGCTAACCAGCAGGAGATGCTGGTTCACAAATGGTTCAAGCTTTGCTCTTATAAGAGTTAAATTCCATATTTGGAACTGGTTATAGACCGTAATAAGTTATTTCTCTGTTTGTCAATTGATTTATATAAGTAAAAAAGAAAAGGTCCCCTTTCCACGCCCAGGCATATTGGAAATATAGGGCTAGACCTATATTGTATAGACCATTTGGCACTTGGGTGGGTGATATGATCAGCATCACACCAGCGGCCCGCCTTTGCTTCCAAGGACTGCATCAAGGCTGGGTTGACCTGGGGAGTCAAAAACATTTTACTTTTTAAAGAGAGTCTGGCTCTGTCAAGACGTGAATTTTCGACATTGATATAAATGAACATTCAAATATAGGAACATTTGTCCAGAATTTGTTCTAATCTTCTTTTTTTCTTGTGTCCATAGTCTGCTATGTGCCATAAGGTGTCACGGGTTAACAAAGACAATTGGTATCCAAACTAGAGCATGCTAGGTTGCCCGTTATACTGTGATATTGTGGAGTCTCAAGATATCAGTGACTCCTTCAATCCATCTTCTTCCTGGTCATCTCCTACCTCTTGGTGTTTCCACTTTCATGTTGCACGCTCTCAATTCTGGCATCAGTGGGTTCATTCTCATTAAATGACCAAATGATTTTAGTCTGCTTTTCTTTGAATTTTATTGCAGGTATTGCTTTTTGTAATTTCTTCATTTCTCACATGATCGTTTCTAGTTTTGTTCACAATTCTTCTTAAATATCTCATTTTGGATGTCGTGAGTTTTCTCTCCTGTTCTTTAGTCAATGCTGATAGCACAAGGTTGGTATGAGGATTAAATTTACAATTTGTCTTTACAGTGTTTTTTTTGTCCCTGTTGAATAACTATTGATTATATTGAGAATTTTTAGTTCAACAATCACAACTTTTAACAGATATGATGTCAAAAGGAAGGTAGATATACGTGATCTGACTTGGGAGCAGAAAGAAAAAGTTCTGCAATATCTGTTTGCAAGAATGAATATGAGCACAAGTAAACCATTTCTGCCAGATGTAAAGGAAAGGCACAGTCAAACACTAAGTATCACACAAGGCGAAAAAAGGTAAATTTGATAATTACACAACAGTAATAGTAATTTTTTAATGAGTATGGACAAGAACTGTCTCAGTTTTTGCTTGCAACTCAAAATCTTTAAGCTAATAAATGATGAAGAATGACGAAGAGTCATTGCGCAGTAATGTCACTCTTTATTGTTATTATATATATATATATATATATATATATATATAGTATATATATATATATATATATATATATATATATTATATATATATAATATATATATATATATATATATATGGTCAGTCAGAAACAGGTTCCTTGCAGAACCTTCAGAAAACTTCTCCATAACAAGCAAGATGTCTGTCCTGCGTCCAATACACCCATCTGTAGATCATCTGCCACTTTCTGGACCCATCCTCTCTTTGGCCTTCCTCTTCCTCTCTCTTCATATACCCCTCTGTTATTGTTCTCTCTAAATTTTTATGACTTTTTAAAATATCAAAATATTTTAAATTTGCTGTGTTTTATTGTCTCTAATAGCCAACCTTCTTCAATATACCGTTCTTGAAGTATGGATGCATTTGTTCTTCCTAACATGCTGCAGTTAATATCTTTCTGAGAAGACATTGTGGGCAGAAATGACATACTGAAAATTATAAATTATTTTTAAACCATGTCATTGCAAGGAAAACAAAGGTTAATGATTAAAAGTATTAAATTAATTTAAGCCATTGACAAATATTTATTAGTTGAATTTCAAGAACTCATAAAATATACATAAAACAATAAAACAAATTTCTAAAAGTAGCAGTAGGTATTTAATTTTTGTGTTATTTTATAAACTAGTTATTCAGAAATGTTCCAGTGTTGTTTTTGTTAGCGTTTATTCAACTGTTCATTTCCTCAGTTAACAGTAGTTATCCAGTATTGTGTCTTTCCACATATCACTAATCAAATCTGTCACTTACTTTACAGGACAGGTACAGTTGGAGACTAGACTTTTTTTTTTTTTTTACACCAGCCAAACCTATTACAGTGCTGAATCCAGTAATACAGTCATCTGGGTTCATCTGGGTAAAGATTCGACTTCACAGCATTCAGGACAAGTCCACATTAGCTCCGCCCCCTTTCTCAACAGACAGCAAAGAGCTTCCATACTGATAGTACGTGTTATCATCTTGTCTTGCCTTCCCTGTCAGTCTCAAGGACTCCCAGAGCCAGCAACCACTCCGTCCTGCATCATTCTCTCCAAGTACACGTTTTTAATATCTTCCGTTTCAACTATTACCTTGTCCCACTGGCTAGAGATCATCTCTGCCTTGTGCAGTTGCAGTACACCTCCAGGAAGGGCCAGTCCAACCAGCTTATTTGCCTGCTCTTTCCCAAACACACTTGAATGGGCCAGGTAAAATACTGTGTGAATCACCACTTGCGACCTCTAGATTTATGTAACCTATACCATGTTAAGAGAACCTGACTCCATCGTCCTGAGCATGCTTAGTGAATCTAATACTGTGACAACATGTGTGGCTAAAATTGTTTTCACCCATCAGAATGCCACAGTTACTGCCTCAACCTCCATTCCCATCCTGGATATGGTAGTGTTGTATGCCAAGCTCTCCTCCATCATCCTTCTTCCCTATGCTTTTGCAAAGCAGCCCTATCCACTTTTTCTGCTTTTGGCCACGGACCCATCAGTGTATATAATCACATCTGGTCTCAAGTTGTTCATTACCAAATGTTGAACCTCTACATCCTATAGTTCACCGCCCATTCCCTGCATTCTCTTCCAAGGGTGATTACCACTTTGTGCTGCTCTTCTCTGCCCTCCAGTACATTTACCCATTCTTCTTTTTGGCTGATAGAATTCACTCAGAACTAAAGAATGCAAAGTAATTTCATTGATGTACATTTCAAACTTATAACTGTTGTTTACATTTTATTTTGAAGCTTTTGGTCTCTACTACATTTACTTTCTGAACTGCTGGTCTAGGAGTCAGGGATTTTAAATCTTTTTTGTGATAGTTAATTTTTTTTTCCAGCCTAAAATGGGGACACGGAATTTCTCTAATAAGTTCAGGCAATGAGCAGACTTAATATTTAAAATATCACCCACTGAGTTCCAGTTAATTTAGAATGATCTAAAAATATGGAATTGGAACCTTGTACACATCCAAATGCTAATAATTTTGAAAAGAGTTTTGTATTTTAATGATCATGCCAATACTTTTATTATAACTCACATATAAAATGTGTTATCAACCCATATTGTAAACAAAACATATTCTGTACAATGTTGATTATTTGTAACTAGTATGATTTGTTTTTTCTTAACCTCTTTTAACTCTGTTCACTAGTGTTGTAACATAAAATAACCCTTGACTCATTAGGGTCATAGAGGTGTATTGATGGACCCACTAGCACATAAAACCCCCCATATATCTCTGTCTTCTGCTTGATGAATAAGTGTATGATAATTCAGTCCTGTCCATTTCTTGATGTTGTCATTCTAGGTTCTTCTTTGCCCTCCTCTTCTTCGACTACCGTCCAGTGTTCTTTGAAGTACAGACTTTGCAATCAAATCAAGTCTCACCACAAGCCCAAACCAAGCTAGCTTGCGACGTTTTACCACTGCCAAGAGAGGCTTCTGATGTCCGACAAATTTGTACATTTTGTCTCTGACAAATTTATTAGTTATGATGTTATTAAGTTATGATTAGTTAGTGTTATGATGAGGCACTATCTCAATTGTTGTTAAAATTTCTTCAGTCCCTCAGTTGCATTTAACCAAATCAGACCTGTATTACTTTAATGTAACAAATAATTAAGACAGAATGAGTTCCAAGAATAAGAAAAATATAAAGCTGTCAAGTGTTATATGGAATAGTCATTACTGCATTAGTACCACTGCTGATGCCTGCATGGATGTCTTCCACCCCTGGAGGTATTACAGCCACTTACCAAAGCAGTAGCAGATGCAGTGTTCAGGCTATGATTATTTTTTAGTTACTTTTTCCAACACACAAAAACAGCATGCCTTATGAATTATCAGAACCCATTGCAAAGGTCTGAATAATTACAGAAACCTAACACTTGTTGTGCTAACAGTAGAGCGTGTTTCTGAATCTGGACTAAATATCAAAGAAATAGCAAAACATGGCAAGCTAAATTCAAATTAAGGTGGCATGTCCAGACAACTGTAAGCCAGTCAACTTAATGAATAACCTAACATTGCCCCATTAATGCTCTGTCCTAACCAACACACTATGTATGATCAGTCATGTTCTGTGTAAGTTAAATAATCCTAGTTGTGATATTATATCTTTCAATGTTTGATCTGAGTGTATTACAGGCATCGGGCTAAACATTTTAATATGCAACACAGAATATGGATTTTTTAAATAGTGCACCCCCCCCCCCTCCCCCCTTTTGTGTGTACTATTCTCTTCTTTAATTAAATATCTGCTTCAAAATCTTCTGAGCCTGATAGGGTTGAATCAAGACCAGCTCCAGCTGGTGGGTCATGCTGCTGACGTCACCAAACCGGGCTAATGATACATTAACACAGCGTTTCTTAAACTGGGGAGAAAAAACATGTCGCCGCACCCCTACACTTAAAGCGGTTTTAATACTTAAAAGAAGGAAAAAAGTGCAAATTTAATGTCAAGCAGAGTTTGAAAAACTTTTGAATTATTGCCATGGCACTCCTGACATTTGCTCCTGGCAATAGTTTGAGAATCGCTGCGTTAACATATCGTTAGCCCGGTTTAGTGACGTCAGCAGCATGGCTCGATGAATGGTGTTTTCAAGGTACTAGAAATGAAATATCCACATGATTCCTAATATGATTTCTAAGATAACTTCAAAAACATATAGATGAAAATGATTGATATATCTTCTTCCCCTTCTTCTTTCATTCGCTTGAAATAGATTAACTATTTCTGCAATGTTGTCTCTAGTATGAACTTGACAGTCTGTTGTAATTCAACCAGTCACCTCTAAAGTTTGGCTTACACCAGTGTTTCTCTTGCCAAAAGTTTTGCCTTGATATGTTGTATTTTGGACAGTCTTGGAGGATGTGATCTGTTGTCCTAGGTGCTAATCTACATGTACACATGGCTGATTTGCTTATTTTAAATTTTGTGTACATGTGACTGAGAAGTCAATTGTGTCCTCTTCTAAAGCGTAGAATAATGACTGGCTCTGGTCTGTCCATTGAATGGTAATCGTCTTTTGCCGGTCTTTGTCGCTTTCTGCTTGATTTTGTTATTCTTTTCTTCTGTTGATAAGAGACTGTTACGTCAGGTTGTTCTTCAGTTGCACATTCCTTAGCTAGTTTATCAGCTCTTTTATTTCCAGGAACTCCACAGTGGGATTATATCCATCGCATAGTTACCTTACACCAGTTGCTTAGTTTGGAGAGTATTTTCCTTTTACCAGGCATTTCTCCAGATTGGAGTGCCTGAAGTACCACTCTTGCATCTGTCAGGAATATCACAGGTTATGAAACATGACGTATATAACAGTTTCTCTGCTGCTATCTTGATGGATTGAACTTTTGCATCATAGTTGTGATAATGCTTTCCTGTTGGTATTTTGGCTGTATATCTGGTATTATTTGGATGCTCAATGTACACTCCTGCTCCTACATTTCTGCTTGCATTTTGTGTTGACACATCTATGTAGACACAAACCCAAAGATCCTGTGGGTATTTATTATCAAGTAGACTGAAAGTGGCTTTTTACACTGCACACTGTTTTGTTTTTCCTTGTTGAATACTCTTTCACTTTTGTCTTGATGTTTATTGGCAATGTATAATTATCTCTCCAATGGTTCTGATCTGGAATAGCGTTTAAGGAGCTATCAGTTGCAGGCAGGTAGGTTTGACTGCAGCGTGGTGGGACCTGGTAGATATATGACAAATATCTGAATAACGTGGCTGTAGATTTAAAAAAAACTTTAGAACAGAAATAAGTGCTTCTTGTAATGTTTTTTTTTTTTCTTGGAGAACAAAAATGTTTTTATAATGCTTATAAAAT